CGACGCCAATGGAAACCTACTAACAAGATGAGAAGCCTTTAAATCTTAATATTGATTAGGTGTTGTTTTGTTTATACCTTGTTTAACCTGACGGCGTGCGAGGCGATCTTTCTGGAGCCAGTTTCCAGGCCTCTATACGCGAGAGGCTCAAATCCAAATCTTGTGACGTAATAGCTTGCCGCCTAGAACACGAACAACCACATTATTAATGTAAAGGTCAAATGGTAATCTATTTTATAAGATAACCGGCTTTAAAATTCACTCATTATAAATTATTATTTTCCACTAAAAGGTAAAAACAGCAATGGATTCGATCCAAAAAGTCGAATGTCAACCAGAGACTTAACACACGGTTCGTTACTCCACAGAAATTCACCAATTGGTAGGATATTGGAGATTTCGTAAAAGAAAGAAAGACATTTATTACTATATAGATCCAAGAATAAAATACCGAGGGCGCAGAATTATAACAAAAAACATAAATTTAAAAGTGTGGTAAAGGGAGCCAACTGATCGTACATATGTAGAGACGGCATAAATAGTCCATGCGCTGGTGTTCAGTTGGCTCCTTTTTTTTTTGGTATCGGGGGGGGGGGAATCTTCGTAAGATACCCTGCCTTTTGGGGGAAAGACAGGGTTATGTGAGACTCACTAAAATCCCCTCAGTGGCCAACTTCAAGTGCGACTACGATGGTCCCGGGATCTCCAAAGGAACGCACCGGAGCCCTTTGCACTGGGCTTCTGCACGACTCTAGGAAAATACTTCCTCGTGCCTTGGCAAGATCGGACCACGCAATGTTGCCGTCTTCTCGGGATTGCTTTCATTGAATTTCAGTTGGCTCCTGTGTTCTTTAAAATTAGATACGATTGTTGTTTATACAATTTTTAAACACTTACTTGTTTTGCATTCGAAACCCAAAATGTGAGATGGTCGAAAGACAAAAACCGACCATTGTCCGGCTTTCGACCCTTGTCCGTATACGAAGTCTAAGAAAAAAAAATTGGATTTAATTTTTTTTTTGTAAATTATTTTTTAATGCATTATTTCTTTTCAACCAGTTTTATAAAGTATTTGATAAAATTCAAAGCTATTTAAAATTTACTCTTAGTAAATGTTTAACTTTTGAATTAAATTAAAAAAAAAAAACTTGTATATCGTTATCATTATTTTAACATATAGGTAAATGAACAAGAAATATATATAATACACTTATTTACTTATGTTTATATTGTAAATAAAAGGACAGATTGTTTAGTATCAATATCTAGATATTTTATATTTAAATTTTCACCTTAAATTAAGTAAGAAATAAGATAAAACCCAATGAACAGGACAGGACATTTTTATTTTAAAAACGATACAGCATAATAAATAAAAAATAAAATTTTCATTAATTAAAAACTATATAATAAAATAAATTTACTTTAAAATATTCAAACTATTTACTTACCATGTTTAAATTATTTAACAAAATAATAAACAAAATAGGTCCGTCCTGTTCCAATCACAAATAGATAACTGAAAAGAAAATATCTTCCATCGATCTTATATCGCCTCGTAAATACGCAATTTATAGCTTCATATATTGTAGGTTCTTTGAGAATATATAAAGGAGCCTACACATCGGCATCGCTGCTGCGAGCCTGCGTTTGATATGAAACTAATCAGCAAATAACTGTTTATACAGTTATGTAGGGTTTGCATAAAATTGAGGGACAAATTATAAATTTAAATATTCAATTATTACGATATACTGTTTATACTATCAAATGTTAAATTCGACAAGTTCACAATAGAGTTACAAGATCAAACAAAAAGCTAAATAAAAATAAAATTATTTGTTTATATCATACTTCATATTATTATAAATACGAATGTTGGGATGTATGGATGGATGGATGTTTGAAGATATCTCCAGGTCTGCTGAACGGATCTCGATGAAATTTGGCACACATTAAAAACATAGTCTGGAAGAACACATAGGCTATTAATTACGTTTTATTTTAATACCGCGCGGACGGAGTTGCGGGCGACAGCGTTACGAAGATAATTGAACTTAACAATCTCGAACTTCTAAAACCTTACCAAATTTTTTTTAAGCCCAATATGTGATCTTGAATTAAATAAATTAAATAATTATCTAGTACATATATTGATTAAGGCATATAAAGATAGTCTCGAGGAAAATAATGGTGAACACAATTGAAACATTTCGATGGTAATTTCAGTCAAAATTAATTAAAATGAGTTGATTAACTGAAACATATCGAGCGTCACCTTGTGTGTGTCACAAACCCAGTTTTTTATACACGCGACTTGCCATTTAAAAAAGATAATCCGGACTGTTGTTAAGTAAAACATTTATCTAGTACATTAGTGTGTAATCTTACTTTATAAATGCGAATGTTTAGATGGATGTTTGTTTGTGTGAAGGTATCTCTGGAACGGCTCAACAGATTTTGATGAAATTTGACACAAATATAGAGCATAGGATCACGAGCATCAGGTCTGGATGAACACTAAGGTACTTATTAAGTTTTTTTTAAAATTCGCGCTGACGTATTCGCGGGCGACAGCTAGTTCAAATTCAATAAAATGTATTGGATGTATTTCGTAACAATGAAAGTCGCAAGTAAATTCTAGTATATGTAAAGCTACGGAAAGCTTATACGTTCCTTTACAATGTTTACGAGTGTTAGCAGCGTTTAGAACCTGTTCACAAGAGCAAAGCACAACAGGCTTCAAGTGTTTCTGCTCTTGGCTAGCATACAACTGAGGCATGCAACGGTGCAAGATGTGAAGCATCATTGAACGTTAAAATGGGCTCTTTATATAACTTCCAAAATAGTAGGCAGCAGAATGTCAATAATAGTCATAAATATATAAACTCACGGGTCTTCCTCTGTGATATTTTCACCCGTTTTTCATGGGTTTTGTTCACTTTTTTAGCATTACATTTTTTTTGTTTTCATGATAGCTTAAATTAATAGTTTTACTGAGCATTTTTCATTATTTACCTTCAAACAGGTCTAATTTATTGCTATTGAGAAAAACAAATCCAAAACTAATTTTGTTTATAACAGAAGGTAGTCAGCACTCTGACATCAGCACCAAAAGGCATGCAGATGCGTTGCCGACTCATGTAAATCGATCCAATTGAAAATAACCTATAAAATATACAAATTTATATCTTTATAATAATGAATATTTCCATATAACTCAGCTGTGGAAAACAAGTTGAGAGAATGACCAAGCTAAATGTTAATGAGGCGGTGTGGCAAAACTGGATCCGTTCGCGGCACAGAGGCGGGGTTGCGCTGACGATATTTTGACAGCGCGGCTCATGTCTCCAAATCTACTGTAAACTATACGTTATTTTTATTAAACTTTCATTCGAGTAATAAACACTTATGATAATAGATACTTTTGTTTATAAAATCGAAGATAATTATGATTTTTTTCTATAAACCAGATCAAACTTTATGTTTTTTTCTGTTGAGTTTACTCACACAGTTGTGAAATGAATGTGAAGCTAACATCTTTTGTTTCAGATTTTTCGCTTTTATATTATTATTTGCTCAGATTAGACTTGAGGCCTAATTTAGTCTACTTTCCCTTCCCACCCTTTGTGAGAGGATGCATGCAAAAACATTTTCTTTCTTGCATCCTCCCCTCCGTCAATTAAAGGTAGGCAACGCATATGCTATTGCGTATGTCTATGGGCAACGGTCACTTCGCTATTTCAGCGATTCAGGTGGCCGCTCGCTCGTGATGCACCTTATGATGCAAAAAAAAATTACCCCTTTAGTAATTTAGAATTAAAATATCGTTAAACAATATATACAGAGTTACAATTAAAGAAATTTTAAATCTCCATTAAACTTCCTATAACTATAGTGTAGTGGTTAGATTGTCTCTACCCCACATTGTTCGCAGTTCGAATACCGGTCTCCAGTAGATATATTTATATGCTACGTGTAATATGTATTTCAAAACATTGTGCAATTTAACATTCCAGTAAATTCTAGTATTAACTTGTGGAAATAAAAACGAAAAGTGAATAAAAATGATAAATTTTGAGAAAATGAATAAACTACGACCAGTGCCTTATTTGCGTTAAGTAACATTTTCATCTTTGGATTTTGAAATAGTCGCTTTATATGTCTACAAATTAAATTTATTGTTTTATAGTTTTTTTTAAATATATTGACGGCTCAAGATTATATGCTCTTTGCGCAGTGCCCACCTGCCGCACTTAAAGTTGTACTATGCGCAGCGACTCGCACGAACTTAAGAGCCACCAAGATATCCGAAAAGTGCTATACAAATATAAGGGTGAAAGATGTTCGCTTATTTTATTTATGTGCTAATTTGAAAAGTCGTATATAGTTTGTAGGAATTGATTGTCGTTTGGTTTAACGTTAACAAAGAGGTGAACTTGTTTATAAATATCTAAAAGATATAAATATTAATGAAGTGACCTCGAACAGGACGTAAACAATAATATTTGTCTATGAAACAAGATATAGTAAACAGATAGGAATTTCGCATTCTTTATCCAGCTTCGCATCACCAAATTAATGTAAAAAAAAACTTTTTGTCGCCCTTTTTTTCGTGATTATTTATTTATAAAAATCAATTGGTCTGGCTGAATGACATCGCAGGGAAGAATACTATTGCAGCAATCAAAACCAACAATTTTTTTTATCCATTTTATTTGATTAATGTTAAAAAAGATTATGCACTGATAGAAATATGTATATTATTTGAGTACATGTTTTATACGTTTACTAGCGGACCCGACAGACGTTGTCCTGTCTACACGTCTTTAATTCGAATATTATTTAAAATTTGTCACTGCGATGGTAGCGCCGTCTGTCGGATCCAATGTAAAACATTCCAAAATCAACAACTACTAATAAATTAAAAATTTATTAAAAAAAACATTGTCCAGCTGACAAAATTGTGACAAAAGTGTGATTGGGAATGGTTTATTCCCAGATCCCCTTGAACACACACAAAAAATTTCATCAAAATCGGTCCAGTCGTTTGAGAGAAGTTCAGTGACATACACACTCACAGAAGAATTATATATATAAAGATGTATTTGTGAATTATACATTTTAAATTAATTATCTTTATCTGTGGAAGCTATACGTTCAATCGCTTCAAATACCCATTTGTAGTTCATAGCACCGAAACCTCTATGATTTCTTCTTTGTATAATTTCAAGAAACAGCGTAGGACGAGCTTGAACGTGTTTGGTAAACGCTTGAAGCATGTAACCACGGTCATCGAAATCAATAAGAATGTTATTTTCTTTAAGCATTTCTATGCTTTCTAATACGTTTACAGTACTATCTTTTAATTTTTCTTTTATTAAATCATAGTATGTTGGTGGCCAGGATAGTATTTCAGCGCCACGAGATTTTAAGCTACGTATGGTTGCAATTATGTCGTCTGTGTTTAAAGCAATATGTTCAACACCAGATGTACCCAATGCTTTAACGAAATCGGTAGCTTTGCTACTTTGCTTTAACCCTTTAGCCGCTTCGTTGAATGATAACAAAACTTTTTCATCTTGACTGATCACGGATGCGGAGTTAATGCAGGAATATGGTACTAAATCGTGTTTGTAATCGACGCACCAAAATTTTTGCATGTTCAAATTCTTTTCGTACCATGTTGTTGTGCTTTCTAAGGTACCATCAGTGAGATTACCTTCTACATGGTCTATGAATTGTAGATATGTGTCTGGAAGAAGTTTGACGAGAGGGTCACTCTCTGTTGGCTCGTATCCTGGTAGTAGAAGGCCGTTATAGTTTGCTCGGTCTATCAGCGTGTGAGTATTGTCGCCGTAAGTCTTCAGAACAGCGTATCTAAGAGTTCCATCTTTGTCTGTCTCTTCTGTAATACCCTTGATGATTTCAGCGCCCTCTAGTTTTGCTTTTCGGACCAATTCATCAAGGTCGTTGACGGCAAATGCGACGTCCTTGACGAAATCGCCGTGAGCTGTTAGTTCTTTAGAAATCAGGCCTTCAGAAGTGGTTGGAGACTCGAAAATTATGGTTATCTAGAATAATAAGTGTATTAGAGGATCAAATCGACTAAATAAATCTATAAATTGATGTATTAAATTTATGACAGACTAGCAGACACTCGCGACTTTGTTTGCTCAGATGAAAAAAGTAGCCTATAATAATTAAAGACCGTCAGACAGACAAATAAACAAACAGACAGGCAAACATTTTTATTTTGGTTTTTTGTTAATCAAATCATTACTTATACGAAATACGATTTTTTTGATATTACATACAAACACAGCAATTTTATTATATGTATAGAATATACAAGATATATTTAAGTCAAAATATGTTACCTTATTAAGATTAACCGCATAGCCTTGTACTGGATTTTTTTCATTCGCATCTCTTCTAGCAAGTGGTTTAAATCCGAATCGACTTACAAAATAACTTGAAGCCTAAAATATCATCATCATCATCATCATCAGCTCACTGTACGTCCTCACCGAGGGGCTCGGATCCTACCCTAAGTTCAGGGTGATTAGGCCATAGTCAACCACGCTGGCCAAGTGCGGGTTGGTTGACTTCACACATATCTTTCAATTTCTTCTCAGATATGTGCAGCATCACGATGTTTTCCTTCACCGTAAGAACGTCGGATAAATGTACATATGTAAAATCGGAAATCGAAAAACATATTGGTACATGGCGGGATTCGAACCCAGGACCTGCAGATTGCAAGTCAAGTGCTTGACCACTGAGCCACTGACGCTCCAGTAAAAAATATCACAGAAAAATTATTAAGAAAAAACACGATATAAGAAAAGAATACTTAAATAAATAAAGAATATAATTTACCGTTTTAGCATTGGCAACCCATAAAGTAAGGTGATCGAAATCTAAAACCTTGGCTGCGTCCTTTTTATCTTCTTGTCCTTTTGTCATTTTACACTGCAAATAAACAATAATTAATTGATGTTTTCCTTCGAACCTGTATAAAAACATATTGTCTTTACTCTCATTTTGTATTAGAACATAGACAACAAACATAAGGAAGAATTTTGTATTCATTACGAGAACGAATAAATATGAAATTTGAAACTGTGCAAATCTATTTATTATTTTAAAATAGTTTTCGACTGTAAATAATTGTCGAATTCAATGTGTTACTAGTATGTAATTAACACAAATATTATTTGGCATTTCGCAGTAATTTTACATAATTTAGAACAAAATGTTAGGATAAAATTTACAACAAAACAACCGTACCTTTTGTGGTCGCTGATAAAGTCTAAATCGATAAATGGTCATTTTAAGGCATTTTATTTGATTTTATATCTTATTAAATAGGCCAATTGTTAGTTATTCAACAATAATGACAATTAAGTTACTAGAATTAGTTGTATAATTAGTAACTGGAACCTAAAGGCTATGTCTAGGTGATCTAGAATTAGATATAGCCGAACATAATTATGCGTTGACACTAAGTTCAAGTGAATTTGCTTAAAAATGAAAACGCCTTTATTTAGATTTCCAGTGTTAAAATAATCATAATCTAACTAATATCATAAAATCGAAAGTTTAGATGGATGTTTGTTTGAAGGTATCTTCGGAACAGCTCAACTGATCTTGATGAAATTTGGTAGTGATGTAGAACATAGTCTGGAAGAACACATAGGTTATTTTTTTTAATTCCGTGCGGACGGAATAGCAAGCGACTATTAGTTGTTTTACATTTTTGTAAATTTCAACAGTTAAAATTACTTACATAGACTTTTCCAAAGTTTTGTTGAATATTCACACAACACAAATCGGCGTCTCTCAAAATACTGCAACCTTTGTCGCATCTAAGATATTTATAAGGGTACAGTTATCTTCCTAACAGATCTTAATAAGAGAAATATGAATTAATTATTGCGACACAGAATTCACGCGTTCCTCAGAAAAAGAATCTTGATAGACTTGATAGACAGACGGACGGACAACAAAGTGATTCTATAAGAGTTGCGTTTTTTCCTTTCGAGTTAAAAAACCTTAAATAGGACGGCATTAAGAGTACCAGAAACAGACATATAAACGTAGATGTATAAAAGTTGAAGATAGAGAGGTGTATCACGATCAAACGGAAGTCTGTGGTCTCTGTCTACTTCTCTGGGTTATAGGCGTGAGTTATATAGTTGTACTACATATTATGAGGTAAACAAATAGTATGTTATTAGCTTTAAATCTGTTTTATGTTAAGATTAAAGATGTGTATAGGATGTTAAAGCGTAAAATGTTGGTGGATTTTACATCATTGTCAAATCATAGGATCTATACCAGTCTTTCCCAAAGTGGGCGATAACGCCCCCTTGTGGGCGCTGCAGGTCTCAAGTTGCGGGTTATAGTAAAAGTTTCGTTTAGAATTCTCCGTTAATATACATATATAGGTAACAATAATTAATTAATTTAATTTGAAGTTATAGTGGTTTTTAAATATGTGAAATATGGGTGCGCTAAAAAAATATTTATTCTCGAAGTGGGCAGTACCCTAAATAAGTTTGGGAACCACTGATCTATACAGACTCGTCTCTAAACCACTAACAGCTATTTTCTTAAAAAAACAATACTCAAGATGATCTCGGTTATAAGGCCAATGAGTTCTTCTTCCTAATTTTATTTTGCCTTTAATTTTTCATACAAAAGTTATAGAAACTAGAAACTTACGAACAGTTCTTTTTTATAAAGTTTTGACAGATTGTATTCAGTTAGACGTTGACGTAACTTGTTTTGATGTTTATTTACTTAAGTTATCTTAAAATTGATCTAAGATATATAATCTTAATGAAATATATAATATTCATATTTCAAAGCCGTTTTAGTTTTTATATATTATATCTTTATATATATAATTCTTCTGTGAGTGTGTATGTCACTGAACTTCTCTCAAACGACTGGACCGATTTTGATGAAATTTTTTGTGTGTGTTCAAGGGGATCTGGGAATGGTTTAGATTCACAATTTTCATCAAATATTAACTTCATATTAATTTATTCAAATTAAAGACGCGTAGACAGGACAACGTCTGTGGGGTCCGCTAGTATTTTATATGAATCAAGAATCAAGGTGCGGTTTCAAAGTAACTAGAACTATGTTAAATAAAAAAATCGCATATATAAAATTCTCGTGTCACAATTTTCGTTTCCATACTCCTTCAAAACGGCTTGACAGATTCTCATGAAATTTTGTGAGCATATTGAGTAGGTCTGAGATTCGGCCCAACATCTATTTTTAATCCCGCGCGGACGGAGTCGCGGGCGGCAGCTAGTATATATAAACACAAATATTTCTTACGGTGAAGGAAAACATCGTGACGCTGCACATATCCGAGAAGAAATTCAAAGATATGTGTGAAGTCAACCAACCCGCAGTTGGCCAGCGTAGTTTAACTATAACCTAGTCACCTAACATAGGATAGACCCGAGCCCCTCTTTGGGGACAAGTCGTGATCTGCTTAACAAAGCAATTTATTAGTTACTGCATGATGCAGCATTCGTTATATTATTTGTGTCACGAAATCTTGTTAAATATTGGATTTTTCTCTTCTTTCTATTGATCTCTTTCCTCATAAATATGTTTAGCCTTAAGGTTGTTGCCTAACCTTTCTTTATTGCCTGATTTGGGCTACTTAATTGTGCCTTGGTTGGTTTTTCATACTATATTTTTGATTTATTGAATTATTTTAACTTTATAGATATTTTTAGGCAATTTTTAATGTGAATTAATAAATTATGAGATAAAGAACATAAAAAAGGCAATAAAACGATAATTTTGCAGTAATAAAATAATTTCATTTTATTTATTTATTTTTACATATTATTTACAGTACATAGGCAGATTATATTCATTAATATTACAGAGTATTTTTTTTTAATTTGCGTCCACTTTACATAACTTAGGATATAAAGGTAAGGCACCTTTAAGGAAGCGAAGTGTACATAAAAGTTACGAGACGTTATTTACAAATTAAGATCTACAATTTAATCGATTATTACAGTAAAATCGATTAATCGATCACAGCATTGAATAAGAATTATAAGTATTTATGTGAAATGAGAGAGGTTTAAATAAATACAAAAACACGTTTGACAATCTATATAATAAAGAAGTAAGATTTGTTTGTTTGCATTGAATAGGCTCCGGTACTACTGACCCGATTTAAATAAATATTTTAGGGGGTGTCCATAAATTACTTGAGGTGTTTTATAAATTTTCTGCCCCCCCCCAACCTGGTAAGATGTCGTGAGATTTTATTCAACATCCTCCCCCATCTCCCAATCTCACGTGAGATTTTTCAAATTGTGAGTTTCTTACGTATTATACGATTAAATGGACCATTTTTTTTTGTTTTAATCGGAAAAAAAATTGCGTTATATTTGCCGAGATCCCTCTCCAACGTAAGATTAGATGAGATTTGACTCGACCCCCCCTTAAACACCTCACGTAATTTATGGCACCCTTACTGTTATGAAGCTATACTAACCCTGTTTGAAAGGCTATATTTATTATTTGATTTTTATAATTCCATGCGATGTCACCTTCATCTGCTATTATCAGTCGATTTATTAGAACATAGGAAATAATTTTTAAAGCAAACATCGACTTAATTACAACAAATATTTCATTTTTGGTAGGCAAAGTTTTTTTGAATTAAAAAATCTGCATATTATAACCTCAAACAGCGAGTTTTTTTAATTTAATAAATTTTAATAAATGAATGTTAATTTACATCGTTTTAAATATATTTTAAATATGTTAAGATTGATGTCAAACGTGTGTTAATAGTAAAAAATATATATAATTATCAGATTGATAAAGACTAGGCGATGTAAGTTCTGATGGATTAGTACCAAAACTTACGCATGCGTACAACAGGTAACAACTTAAAATTATATTTACAAAAAAAAAACATTTTATTATTATAATATAAATAATATGGGAAAATTCAGTTTTATATTGTATTAGAGAATCGATTATTTGAAATCGATTTTTTTTATTACTAATCGATTTTTTTCACAATCGAAAGCTGTAAAAGAAAGTCGTGTTAGTTACACTATTTATAACTCAAGAACGGCTTTACCGATATGGTTGTAAATTGGTGAAGAGGTAGCTTAGAGCTAGGAGATGGACATAGGCTATTATTTTTTAATTTTTTTTTCGAATTTATGCCTTGAAGAGCTGCTTTTTATTTAACTTACTAATATTATAAATGCGAATGTTTAGATGGATGTGTTGTGGATGGATGGGTGGGCTACACTAATTAAGTTTTTTTATATATCCACGCGGACGGAGTCGCGGGCGACAGCTAGCAGTAATAAAAATCGATAACCATAACGCATCTCTTATTGGTTATTAAAATGCTGGCCTAAAAGAAAAGTAAGAATGAAATTGCTAATATTTTTTCGATACAAAAATATTTCATAATTTTATAAAGGAACCCCAAAAGGGAAGTTAATTTTCTTGTTAGTTGTATTGTTTTTTTATTTCATATTGATAAAGGGTTATTGACGATAACATAATATCTTTTTTTTTTAATATAGCAATATTTGTAGGTCATCGGTTACAAAATTGCCCCAGAAGGTGTAAAATTTTTAAGTTTTTAAAAAATGCCATTTATTTTTTTAATACCCAGAGCGGATTTTTTATTGAATTTTTCTGGTGACCCTTGTGACCATCCCTATCCCTTCCTATGTACGTAACCTTTCGGGACACCCTGTATACGTTACATTTAAAAAATCACCCCAAAATTGTTTAACTCATTAAAATGTATCAAGACGTTAATTTTTGATATAAATAATAAATATATTTTTATACATATATACTAAAATCGAAATTGTGACGTCATTTTTCGTTGTTCTCACAACCGATTTGTAACAATATAATTATATTAATATATAATATGTGTTATGATGGTATATAACAAATTCAATATATTATAAAATGTAATTGACTACTTCGCATTATAAATTAACACGTTAGCTGCCGTGTCGGATTATGTGTCCGACAAGCCATACTTTCATTCAACACCTCGCTGTGGCTTGTCGGACGCTTTTTAATCGAATTGTTGTATACAGCGTGACTCGCAAGCTCCCGTAAAGCTTATAAACAGAGGGACAATTTTTTTTGTTTTTCGAAAAATCATTCTGGCAGCAAACGTGTTAAGGTTAAAAAAATTCTAACCTCACTTTTTCATATAACTTACTATTGATTTTTGACACCAAAATTCCCGTTCAAAAACATATTGTTACCTCTGTTTTGTCAAATGACAGGGATATGTTTTATAGAGATTTTGAAGTCAGAAACCTACGGTTAGACTACCGCATCGTCCTATATTTTTATGATATTATTTTAACCCATATCTTTTACGTTTGTTTTTTTTTAAGTAACTAATTTTTTTTGTAGATACAATTGTGTTAAAATTCCAATTTTTAATTTATGAATAGTCAAAATATATTCACATAAAATATAAGGAACAAAAATCGCTTACAAAATTAATCAAAAATAATTATTTTTAAAAGTTAAAATTTGTTTTGGTATCGCGCGAGCCGACCCGTGAAATGATTCAGTATTCTGACATCAAATCTAATAGATTCAATTTTATAAAGCATTTTTTATTTGATTAAAAAAAAAAATTATTCGTCAAGATTTTGTAAAAAATAAAAAATATGATTTACAATAATTTTCACATTAAAATGAATTAAAAATGTATTGTTTTTTTTATTACAAATTTGATTATTATGTTCATGATTTTCGTAATTTTTTTTTAGTGGAGATTAAAAAAAATCCTATTATAGTCAAATTCAATGAAAATGAGAAATATTTAACTTTTATGGATAAAAAAAAATTGTTGATACAAACATATCTGTTTTAAGATTTTAAAGTATTTTTTAGATAGATTTCTAATAATTGTTAATTTGTATTGAATTGAACTATACATAAAGTCCATAAATTACATGAGGTGTTTTTTTTTATTTTTCTGCCCTTCCCTCCACCCCTGGTGAGATGTCGTGAGATTTCATTCAACCCCCTTCCCCAATCACCAATCTCCAGTGAGATTTTTCAAAATGTGAGCTTCTTACGTAAACGCGTTGGATTGATATTGTAAAAAGAAGAAAAAAATGCTTCGGGCTTTTGCTTGTTTTTTTTGTTTCAATCAGAAAAAAAATTGCGTGATATTAGCCGAGACCCCCCTCTCTCCAACGTAAGATTAGATGAGATTTGACTCGACCCCTTCCCCCCTTAAACACCTCACGTAATTTATGACCAAATCTTCACAACACAGTTATTATTTAATTCACAATCAAAATTATTTATTATTAATTAATTATTGTTAAAAACACAAGAAACGTAAGGTACTTGCACTAGTACATTACAAAATATTTTATTAGAAATTATAATCAGTTCTTTACAACACCATGTGATTGTATAAACGTGTTAAGGCACTTATTAAATTTCATTATTTTGGATTTCATATATTAATCGTGGGTTTCTGAGACCGATATCGTTTAAAAAAAAGTTATATCTGTAGTGTCAAAGATACAGGGATGATGTATTTTGGTTTTTTTTTTTAGAAAAAGGGGCAAACGATTAACGGATCGCCTAAAATTATTGATCCGACGCCCATAGATATCGACAACGCCAGATGAACCGCAGATGCAATGATTTGTACAAGAATTTTGGTCTCAGAAACCTACAGTAGGTATTTTATTGATTTTAATTTCCTTCGACAACCATTTAAGTCAATTCCTTACAATATAAAAAATCTGCTTCAAAATCAGTCTTCATACATCGCTCACCTCAACTATACCAAAACTCGTTACGATGATTTTAACTGCGTCTTAACCTTTTTAAACGAGTTCAAGGTTCATTGATAATAGCGCCATCTAGTAGTGTAAAAAAACTTATAGCGCCATCTATTAGACAACGGTAGCACTTTTTTAGTATGAACTCACGATTTGATAATGCTAAGCCTCATATCACATGAACACCAAATGGCATAAGCAAGTTTTATACACTTCACGGAACAGCTCGTCAAAGAGATCTCTCCGTTAACGTTTATCGTTGTATATCACAGAGTTGTGTTGACGCGGACGCATCAACTAGTTGTGCTCGCTCCACAGCCACGAGGCAACCCCCGGGAGCCACCAACAGGGGAGAGGATGAGCTTCCGACCCACACCTTCTTTACATCCTCTGAACAGTGCTGAGCTGGAGACATGTAGCCACCTCTGTAAATAAAGTAATATTGGATTAAATCAACTATGTCATATCTTACTAATATTACAAATGCGAATGTTCAAATGGATGGATGGATGGATATTTGTTTGAAAGTATCTCTATGTAGTTGAATGGATCTAGATGAAATCTGGTATACATATAGAACATAGTCTGGAAGAACACATAGGCTACTTATGTTTTTTTTAATTCCGTGCGGACGTAGTCGCGGGCGACAGCGAGTATTATATAATTATAAAGTTTAGATAGACGAATATTTGTTAGAAAGTATCTCCGGAACGAAAATTGATGAAATTTTGCACAGATCTAGAACATAATCTGGAAGGATAGGCTACTTATTAAGTTTGTTATTGATTCCGCGCGGCCAGAGTCGCGGACGACAGCTAGTTTTAAATAAACTAATCTGTTAAAGTTGATGACCCTTCAAATCATGCTATGCAGTAGTTGTGTGCATTTATAAACATCCTGTCTTGTTCTACTTCGAGTAAGTCGATAAGTTATAATTGTAGTCTGGAGTTGTAGGGTGACCATGTCGTTGAAAGTCCTGGACATTTTTAATACCAATAATAACAATCTTATATCTTATAAATACGAATGTTTGCTTAAAGGTGTCTGGAGAACGGCTCGCTGAAATTTGGCACAGATGTAAAACATATTCAGGAAAAATACAAAGGCTACTTTTAATAACTATTAATTAATTAATTTCACTACGCGCGGACGGAGTCGTGGGGTACAACTAGTTATTCAATAACTAATAATACATATTAACACTGGCAGTCAACGACTTCATCTTGGCGTCCACTAGCAATCAACATAGTGTCCATTTTTACCTTAGCTTCCTATCAGCGTGGAGCAGCGCATCAGCTCTCAACAGACGCACAGCGACTGCTACCAGCAGGAAGAGTATGAGTGCGCCACAAACTGGCACAGCTATAGTGGCTGCCTTGAACCACACCTCGCCGTTGTAGCTCGCACCGCGCTCCGTAGCAACGCCGTTAGGGTCTGTAAAAGAAAAACAATATCTTAATAAGACAAATCTGACAGAAACGGTGCTGCTATTGTAGTTATGTTAGAAAATTCAAATCGACAAGGATCTTGTAGCATCCTTTTGATATCGACAGAGGGCATTAGTGAGCTATAATATCCACCGGGTCAGATAAGTTTCCCGGACTATACAGCTGTCGATTACACAATTTGACACATTTGACAATAAATAATCTAGTGAGTTATAAGAAAATAAAACTAAGTCCATAAAATAGGGAATAATACTAATATAAATGCAAATTTTAGATGGATGTCTGTTTGTTAGAAGGTATCTCAAACGGCTCCAGGTACTTAAATGAAATTTAGCACAGATGTAGAACGTAGTCTGGAAAAACATATAGGTTACTTATTAAGTATCTTTTTTAATTCTAGATTCTCACAGACGGAGTCGAAGTTGACAACTAGTTAAACATAAAGTCTCCGTACTGAGCGAAGTGGGGACATCGTAGTTTGATTAATATGGACATACCTATCAGAGCAATACTTGTTAAAGTAGACATAATCATTTGATCTGCAACAACTAACAACATAAAACAGTAGCTGTTATTTGGCGTATCGTTCTTAAGTTCTGGGAATGAATGTTTGTATACTCCGTTATAGGTTCCAGTTAGTGCTAACCGAAGTGACCTGACCATACGCAACGTAAGGTTTTTTGACACCCATATAACACGGTTTAACGATATATATTCCAAGTTATTATCTTACTAATATTATATATACGAATGTTTAGATGGATGGATGTTTGTTTGAAGGTATCTCCAGAATCAGAACCATTGCTTGGATCTTGCTTAATTGGCATAGATGTAGGATATAGTCTGGAAGAACATATATGCTATTAAGTTTTTTCCTTCCGCACAGACAGAGTCGCGGGCCACAGCTAGTAGTGTATAGTTTACTGGTGTGATTTTTATATATAGTTTCATTTCCTTTCAGTCGCATATATCATTGTTTTTATTTTATTAATCGTTCGTTTAATATTATTAAACTGCACGCAAAAGTAAATTACAGATAAATAGGAAATAAAATCCTGTTTCTTTTTTACCTTTTCATTTTAAATAAGAACATTTACATTAAACTTTGTGAAAATTACAAAATTATGGGTTACGATTATTTACCTAGGAGCCTAACATGCGTTCACTTTCAATACAAAATAATTCCGGTTGCATATACGGTTATCGCGTGTACTTTCTATTCAACCGGTTTACTTTATAAGGAAGGAGTATTCAATCATACGATATTACTAACAATTGGATATAGCAGATATCTTTACGGCTCTTAACTTTGCGCGAGTCGCTGCTCAGGACATAATGTTAGGTGTGTTGGAAGTAATGCGATGCGGGCAGAGGGCACATGGAGGGCGCTATTGTCTGTCTGGCAGCATTTGTTCCGTGAAATCTCCGGAACGGCTGTATCGATTTTAATGGAACTTTGACGGAAAGTTAGCTGATGTACACATGCAAGTGCTGAACCAAGTCGCGGTCGATTGTTAGTTAAGTATTGTAAAATAGTTTCGTTTAGAGTGACGCAATCGGTCTCATGTTACACGTAGAGTTTACACAGTCGGCCTGACTCAGAACACTATTTAAATAAGATAAGAACGGCTCTAGAATAATAAGCAAACGTTCGCGGTAACGGCAAGGAATTTATGTATTTTGTTTTGTATACACGATTATAATTTTTATAGGCAAATATATGTTACCTACTTATACAGATTTTACATCAATATGTTTAAACGAGAATTTTGGTCTCAGAAACCCACAGTACATCTCATGTTTACTTCTTTATTAACACAAATATAGCTATGAAATGGATATATCTGACGAAAAATTACATCACATTGGGGGAGAAAGACAAAGTGCATTCCGAAACGATTCCATGACGAACTTCAAAAATGTATAGAACTCACAATAACTTATGATAAGTCGTGATTGTCTCGCGTCAGTTCCATAAAAATCTGTTACACGTTAGCTGTCAGAATGATTTTTCGAAAATCGAAAAAAAAAAAAAAATTGTCCTAAACCATTTGAATGAGGCCTTGCGGGTCACGCTGTATACAACAATTCGATTAAAAAGCCACAGCGAGGTGTTTGGAAGTATGGCTTATCGGACACATAGTCCGACACGGCAGCTAACGTGTTAAAACTAGTTTCGTCGAATGATTTAAAATATTTCATTTACAAATGTATACATACCATGTTCGTTGGTGAGGTTGAGACGGGCGCGTGCCAGCGGGCTGTCCTCATGATTGCACAGGTCACGGAAACAGCACAGTAATAGAGAGTGCTGGCCGCGCGGTGCAGCACTGGATGGACTGTTCTGGCAATACGACAATGCTTCTTGTTCACTGGAATAAAAAAAATACAATGTTAAACTAAAAACAAGCTCATCTAACTAAGTCATTAGACCAGAATTACTAATACTAGCTTTCGCCCGCGACTCCGTCCGCGCGGTATTAAAAATAAATTAATTAGTAGCCTATTTGTTCTTCCAGATTATGTTCTACAACTATGCCAAGTTTCAGCGACATCTATAGAACCATTCCGGAGATACCGTCAAACAAATATCCATTCATCCATCCAAACAATTCACATTTGTAATATTAGTAAGTAAGATTATAAATGCGAATGTATAGATGTATGTTAGAAGGCATGTCCAGAACAGCTCCATGGATCTCGCTGAAATTTGACATAGATGTAGAACATAGCCTGGAAGAACACATAGGTTATTAATTAAGATTTTAAATTCCCCGCGGACAGAGTCACGGACGACAGCTAGCGAAGAAAAAAAAACTAGAAAACAAGCAGTTTAATAAACAAAAAAATGATTTAGATTCAGTGTATTTTAAAGCTTTTCAAGTAATTACTGCATCTATAATTATTTAAATTTAATTATTAAAATCCATATTAATATGCATCGTATCCCGTTTTTTTTATTTTTAAATCATTAAAACGGAATTAAAAAGATGTCAATCTTAGTTCATTAAATTAAAAACGTTAAAAACCATCAAATTAATTAAATCCATAACTAATAATTGCTATTCAATAATGAGTAAAAAGTTTTTACGCTAATTACGATTCTATTTTCAAGGGCATAAGATTCAATTTTGTTTAAACGTATTCTATGTCGAAATTTATAAGGTTTCCTCTCCGATAAAGATTCAATATGTATGTGGTCTGTTGAATTTCGTAAGGGCCAAATGTTAACAGGCCCCAATGAACGTTCAATTGTCGTAGTATGAATTTATAGTAAATATGGTTATTAAAACTATTATGTTTCGTAACCGTGTGTCCCCACTGTCGAAAACAATGTTACAAAAACATCGAGACCATGATAAATTTATTCTATCGGGGTTTTCTTAAGTTACCTTATATGTATAATATTAATATTCAATACTAATTGTCACCCGCGACTCCGTCTGCGCGGGACTAAAAAAAAAGTAAGTAGCCTATGTGTCCTTTCAACCTATCTTCTACATCTATGCCAAATTCCTTTGACGTAGAGACGTTCCGGAGAACAAACCAACAAATCCATCCATCTAAACCTTCGCACCTATAATAACACTAGTTATCGCCCGCGAGTCCGTCCGCGCGGAGTAAAAATAAAACTTAATTAGTTATGTATTAGTCCACTTTATGTTCTACATCTGTGCCAAATTTCATCAAGATCTGTCAAGCCGTTCTGGAGATACTGTAACAAACATCCATCCATCCAAACATTCGTACCATATCTATTGGTCATAATCATATAGAAAGGCTTATATTGATAGGGACCTAAATCAGGTACATTATAGACCACAAATTAATCTTTCGTCAGACGATAAAATCGTTCGAACCCTGTTTGTTTTATAACGACAAATTGGAGCGGCATGTTGCAAGTACGATTAATAGAAAGCTGTTTGTAATGCCCTGTAAGAGATCTGAACAACAGATCAGGAAGCTAGGAGTTGTCTTAAGCTGTTGATTGATGGCGCGATATAATACAGAATTAGAGTGGTATCTAGTGTTAGGAATAAAATCCGAAAATATGGCGGTGTTGACCCAACACTAGCCTTACTAATGTGTCGACGTTTGTGTCCCCTCACTATTCATTCTGACACTGGACTTTGTAACAAAAGCACGTCATTCGCGCCAAATGATTCAAACTAATAATTGTCTAAAACTAGTAACGTTTTTGGTAAATATGTCTAAATAAAATACTGGTGTAAATATATTCCTACATATCTGTTTTTGTTTTGTATGGTTCATAGAAGTTGGAAGACTTATGGTGGAACATAATAATCGTTCTCATTTCCGACTATCTAAGATAGTGTACCGATTACATTTAACAGATCCAAAGGTTTCAATTATATTCCGATAGCTTAATTCGCCGTTTTTTATGCAACGAGCGAGTGGCTACATGAATTCGCCGAAATAGCGAGGCGAGGCTGCCCATCGACATCCACAATCCGCAATTTTAATCGACGGATGACACAAAGTAAGAAAATATTCCCTCATAACAAAAGGGTAGAAAGAGAAACAGGACTAAAATTACACCTCCATTCACACTTAAAAGACGTTAGTTTATGGCGGATTAGAAATTTTTTAATAATATGAATCTTACCAAAGTTAACTGATATAAAAACGGCTTAACACTCACATATATTCGTCCGGTGGCGGCACCGGTTTCGAGCAATCAATGAAGTGCGCGACGGGCCGCGTCCGCGAAATAATACCAGTACCACTCACCCTGATGAAGGGCCCCGATGGGCTCGAAACGGTGACGCTACCAGACGAATATATGTGAGTGTTTAGCCGTTTTCATATCAGTTTATTATAATGTCTCACGAGAGTTTGAATAATTTAACTAACCAAAGTTATTTTGCATCGCAGTATTTATACAACAAACATTTCCTCCGTGTCTTTCGTCAGTAAATTGACATTAATTCTTCAAATACATTATCTTGTTTAATGTTTTACATTGTAAATCCACAAAGCGAGACACGTAAAGCGTACATTTGCGGAATACAAATGACGTTTGTATGGAGTTGACTGTTCTCACGGGCGAACCGAATTTACATTCTATTGAAATTGTCCGTATATGTTAGGATTAAATTGTTTAATATTTTATACCTTCAATATTGTTATGAGTATAAATTTAAACAGCACGGCAGCAAAAGTGCTTTTATTCGTTGTTAAAAACTTATACTAAATTGTAAATGATGATGGATGACGGATTGATGTTTCTTCTGAACTATGTTCTATATCAGTGGTTCCCAAACTTATTTTGTTTACTGCCCACTTTGAGAATAAATATTTTCTTAGCGCCCCCATATTAGAGTTTAAGCAATCTTTTAATTCATATTAGTTGATGTTCACAAGTTTGTTGTTGAGAGTCGAGAGCTCATGCAGTCGTTGTCTGAGAGGCCTCCGAGCTAAATTAAATTACAAATCAACCCCCAGGCTTCTACACAACGCCCTCATTTTCTTTCTGGGTCTCTTATCGCCCTTCTTGAGACCTGCAGCGTTCACAAGGGGTCGTTATCGGCCACTTTGGGAAAGATTGTTATATATGTATGTAAAATTTTATCCAGATCCGTTGAGCGGATTTCGGACATAGTCTGAAAGAACACATAGGCTACAAATTATTATTTTTTTAAATTCCGTGGGGATGGAGTCGCAAGCGACCGCTAATATCGTTATAACTAGAGAATAATATTGATAAGTTCGCATTTAAAAGATCTGTATGATTTTATTATCTGTTTATTAAATAAGTAAACACAATTATCTGGCAACCCGACGAGATGTTTGATAAAATATAGAAAAAAAAAAAAGGAAGTATTACAATGTGTAGGAATGTAGGACGAAAATGTATTCTATTACATTGGCAATAGATTTCATTTTCCATTAAGCTTTAAATACCTTTTACCACAAAGCTATCAATCGAACAAGTTTTTGCAAAGAGTGCTGATATCTTATTATATTATAAAAAGTGACTTTTTGTTAAATAAAAATATACGATCATCAATTCTTGATATTAAAACCGCAGCCGATTGAATTGACGTGAGAAAGAGACAAAAAATTATATTATTTCCTGCAATATTGTTATATTTTTTAAATTAGTTAACATTCGGACGGGCGCTTTTTAACGCCACATAAAAACAGTACTGTCGATTATCGAGTGACGAACACTTTAAAATCACTCTTCTATCGTCTTTTTTTTATTTTTTATATCAGAAGGTGGCAAACGAGCGAGCGGCCACCTGAAATGCTGAAATAGCGAGGTGACTGTTGCCCATAGACATACACAATTACATATGCGTTGCCTACCTTTAATCGACGGAGGAGAGGATGAACAGAAAGAAAATATTTTCCCTTTCCATGCATCCTCTCATCTGGTAAGTCCACTTCCACTTCCCATCCTTTCCTTATAAGAAAGAGGGTGGGAAGAGAAAGAGAAACGAAATTTAAAAAAAAAATCATTATTGTTTTATTTTATCAAGCAAACACAGTAATATTAAAAAATAAATCCCTTTCGTATGTAAATCAGGCTACTAAGGGCTAATAAGAAAATTGAAGACACTTTATCGATAAACTTCACGGTATCAAAATTATAAGACATTTTTGTTTTAATCACAATTTCGTCAATCCTGTCAGTCAATTCTAGGCCTAGACTAACCCTTACATCACATAGTAACAGCCAAGTTTACGTAAGAACCCATAAATCTCTTGCTAGTTGACAATCGATTAACATTCGAGATTTGTGTTGCGTTTTCACGTGGGAACCATGTTTCAGACGAAGTTCTAATATTCCAAACGTTCGATACGTTATTTTATTAATAATACCGAAACTGTGTTGTTTGACAAAAAATGTTGGTATGCTTGCAATCCAGTTTGAATATTCCGCCAAAGTTAATTATAACTGACCAATTTAACTAAAGATTTTTCTTATTAAATACTAGCTGTCGCCCGCGACTCCGTCCGCGTGGATATATAAAAAAACTTAATATATAGATAAGTTAAATAAAAAGCAGCTCTTAAAGGCATAAATTCGAAAAAAATGAATAAATAGTATCCTATGTCCGTCTCCTGGCTCTAAGCTACGTCCTCGCCAATTTTCAGCCATATCGGTACAGCCGTTCTTGAGTTATAAATAGTGTAACTAACACGACTTTCTTTTATATATATATATATAGAAAAGAATTGTTAAAACTTACTAATATTATTAATGGGAATGTTTGGATGGATGTTTGTTAGAAGGTATATCCAGAACGGTTACACGGATCCTATAGATGTAGAACATAGTCTAGAGAACATATAGGCCTACTAATTAGGTTTTTTCATTCCGAACAGACGGAGTCATGGGAAA